TGCTTGTCAGCCGGGCTCTAGGGCCCCTCGGTCCATGGGGGAGGAGTGGTGCTGGAGGAGAGGAGCGGGGGGAGCTCCGGTCAGCTCACCTGTGATAGAGACAAGACCTGGTTGAGGGGGAAGGGGAAACTTGCACCTGTGTGGAGGGAATTGACTCCGTGGAAGGATCAGGAGTGGCGATGGGCCTTGAAGGGTTTGCTCCTGGCTTGGTGCAGGGCTGAGGGCCCCGCAGCAGGGGGCTGCTGTATGAGAGGCGTAGCGGAAAAGCGTGGATGTGCTTTGAGGGACAGCGGGCGGGGAGGTGTGAGTGTGGTTCCGATTGTGCTTTCTAGTGAGGGAGCAGGACCAGTAGGAGCCTTTACCAGAGGCCCCGAAAACTGGGCTGGCACACGCGGACCGAGCTCTGAAACAGTGGAGACTCTGACCCCTGCAGGATCAGAGCAGCTTCCAGAGGGGTGCAGAGGGGGTTAGGGCAGCGGGGGGCTGGGTGGGAAGCTGTCGCCAGGGAAAAGGCGATGAGCGTCTCACCCCCTGCTAGTGGCGTAGGCATGCAAAGGAGCAGGCCGATCCAGGAGGCCGAGGACCTAGAAATCTGGAAGGGTTTGGGGACCAGCTCGACATAGGGTAGAATGAAGGTCAAAGATAGCAGGCCTGTTTTGAGCCTGAATGATTCAGAAGGTGAATGGAACCTGGGAGCAGAGCCACTTTGGAAGCTGTTTGAGGATCAACAGGACAGTCGGGGGATTCTTCTGACCAGGGGTTCACGAGGCGGATCTGCAGCTCTGGGAGGAACTTGCCAGAGCGGGGAGAGCGGGCAGGCGCGGGCGGGGCGCGGCGCACAGCGTGCGTCGCGGGGAGAGGCAGCCACGGGACAGTGGAGAGGAGCGCGGGAGGGCCTGCGGGGCGGCCGGGGCGGGTAGCACTGCAGCGCCCTCGTCATGGGGGCTGACTTGTGAGCAGGCAGGCCAGCAGAACCGAGCAGCCCTCCAAAAACAGGCCAGGCTCCAGTCTGGGGAACCTTCACATGGGATCGGGGGGGCGCCACAGTTCAGTGAGGTGATGAGGGACTTCTTCATAAATTCCACTAGAACAATTAAGAACCATTTAGGAACTTGATAGAGGTGGTTGAACAGCGTTGTGAATATACAAAATGCCATCGAATTGGCACACTTCACAATGGTTAACGTTGTGTTATGTGAACTTCACCTCGATTTTAAGAAGAAAAGAACCGTCAGGAAAGAGATCGTGTCTCATACCAGGTACCACGATAAGCTGCAGGTGGATCAAAGATTAACATGTAGAAAATGAAACCAAATCTGGAGATGATGGTGGCAATGGTTGCACAAAAGTGTGAATGTACTTGATGCCACTGAGCTGTGCACCTGAGAATGGTTAATGTAGGACTTCCTGGTTGTCCAGTGGTTAAGACTCATCGCTTCCACTGCAGGGGGCATGGGTTTGATCCCTGGTCGGGGAACTAAGATCCCACATGCCGTGCGGCATGGCCAAAAAAAAAAAAAAAAGGTTAATGTAAATTTTATGTTATGTATATGTTTTCCCCCCGCCCACAAGAAATGAAACCATAAAGGAACTCATAGAAAAAATGCTGAGTTCCTTTATACCCCTGGAGTAGAGAAGGCTTTTATAACTAAGAATCAAAACTCAGAAGCCATAAAAAGAAAAGATTGATAATTTTTAAGGGTTTTTTTTTTTAAAGCAACTAGTGCTCGAGCTGTTTTTTTTTTAAATGAATTTATTTTTTATTTATTTATTTTTGGCTGCATTGCGTCTTCGTTGCTGCGTGCGGGTTTTCTCTAGTTGCGGCGAGCGGGGGCTACTCTTCATTGTGGTGCGCGGGCTTCTCATTGCGGCGTCTTCTCCTGCTGCAGAGCACGGGCCCTAGGCGTGCAGGCTTCAGTAGTTGTGGCTCATGGGCTCTAGAGCACAGGCTCAGTAGTTGTGACGCATGAGCTTAGTTGTTCCACGGCATGTGGGATCCTCCGGGACCAGGGATCAAACCCGTGTCCCCTGCATTGGCAGGCGGATTCTTAACCAATGCAGCACAAGGGAAGTCCCAAGATTGATAAGTTTTTCAAATAAAAATCTTCTGTAGCTTAAACACAACATCAAGTCAAAGGACAAATGACCAGTTCATATACAAAGAGCTCTTAAATATCAAGAAATGCAAAACCCTGCAAGCAAAGACAGAAGTTCTCAGTTTACCAGAAAAGAAATACAAGTGACTCTTGAAATGTAAGGAGATGTTCGACCTATACTTTCTCCTCTGTCTTAAGGGCAAGAATACAAACACTGAACGACCTGCTTTGTTGGGAGGCTGCTAGATTCAACTCAGCACATCCCACGTGGACGGCAAGTGGGCGACTTCTACTGAAATGGCACCTGCATGCACCTTTCAACCAAACAACCTTGCCACCTAGACATACACCCTGAAGGCACACCTTCACAAAGATGGAATAAAACATTCCCAGTGATTCGTTACAGTCCGGTGTTTAATAAACGAGAGGTTGGATGTCACACAAATGGGTTTTGATGAGAGATGGCCAGAATAATCTGTACTCCACCCACACAGAGGAGCACTGCACAGCCCTAAGACAGAGGAAGAGCTCTTGGCCTGTTTGTGATACGAAATAACCTCCAGAATACGTTAAAAGGGAAAAAAACTGGCGCAGAATAGGGTGGGCCTGTAGCATGCTGCCTTCTATGTAAAAAAAAAAAAAAAAAAAGATAATTATTTTTGTAAAAACAATTGCTTTGAAAGAAAAAACAGAGGATAGTCAAAATGATGAGCCATGGGGCGCGAGAGGGGAGAGGTAGAGGAGGCAGGAGCAGCAGCAAGATGTCCCTGGATGAATCTTTTTTTTTATTTTTCTAACTTTTGAGCCAGGTAAATGTTTACGTATTCACAAAAGAAAATGCAAAGTAAAACAGCAGAATCTATAGTTGTGAACAAATTTATTTCGAAACTAATGAATCTAATCGTATATCAAATTAGTAACATAAGCACACAGAGAAAATAACGATCACGTATTTGTAATAATTCGAACTTTAAACATAATACTCTGGGGCTTTCCTGGTGGCGCAGTGGTTAAGAATCCGCCTGCCAGTGCAGGGGACGTGGGTTTGAGCCCTGGTCGGGGAAGATCCCACATGCCGCGGAGCAGCTAAGCCCGTGCGCCACAACTACTGAGCCTGCGCTCTGGAGCCCATGAGCCACAACTGCTGAAGCCCGCGTGCCTAGAGCCCGTGCTCCACAACGAGAGAAGCCACCGCCATGAGAAGCCCGTGCACCGCAACGAAGAGTAGCCCCTGCTCGCCGCAACTAGAGAAAGCCCGCGCACAGCAACGAAGATCCAATGCAGCCAAAAATAAATAAATAAATAAATAAATATATCTTTTAAATGGCAGTATTAAACATAATACTCTGGCCATTTCACTACTGAACTGTTTTCCAAGGACGGGAGGTGGGGTAGGGGAGTATTGTTTAGTGGGTGTATCAGTCAGCTTGGGCTGCCGTAACAAAGTACCCCAGGCTGAGTGACGTAAACGGTAGCAATTTATTTTCTGAAAGTTCTGGAGGCCGGAAGTCCAAGATGAAGGTGTCGACAGGGCTGGTTCCTCCTGAGGCCTCTCCCCAGGGCTTGCAGACGGGCGTCCCTCTGTGTGTGTCTGTGTCCTAATCTCCTTCTCTTACAAGGACACCAGTCAGATTGGTTTAGGGGCAAGGCCAGTGACCTCATTTTAACTTAATCACCTCTTTAAAGACCTGTCTCCAAATACAGTCATGTTCTGAGCTGTGGGGATTAGGACTTCAGCACGTGAAGGGAGTGGGGAAGGGGGATGCAGTTCAGCCTGCGCTAGGAGCATGAGGTTTTAGTCTGAGGAAGGTGGGAAGGTTCTGGGGGTGCGTATGGTGGCGACGGTTGTGCAGCAACGTGAACGTGCTCAATACTGCTGAGCTTGTACTGGAAGATGGCGAAGATGCTGTGTTACCACAATAAAAAAGATAAAAATGAGTTTAAGGGGACTGAGGGTGCCGCTGAGAGGGTGACAGAAGGCTGTGTGCGATGGGCACTCGTGGGGGACGGACAGTAGGAAACAGGAGTTCGGGGTCTGACCACACAGAGGGTTTCCGAGTGTGAGGTCTGGGCGGCCAGCCGTTCCAGCCGCTGTGAGCACCCCCTCCACTCTCCGTCCGTGAAGCGGGCGGCGTGGTCACTGCAGCTCTGGGCAGGTCCGCTTGCTGTGCTTCCGTGTGCTCTGGGAGCTCCTCCTTGTTGGCAATTTTCAAACCCTCACGTTGCGTGGTTTCTATGGCTACTGACGTCCCTCCGAGAGGGGAGCGTGGAGGGACCCTCAGAAAGAACGCAGGGAAGTGAACAGCACGGATATGGGACAGGCAGTACAATCCAGGAGGGAGGGAGCGTGACCTAGTTTTACGGCTGCTTCGCTGAGAAGGTTCTGGCAGGTGCACTTGACTGTCATGTCTGTCGCACTGTCTTCACCAAGAGCTGTAAAGGGAGGTGACAGGATGCAGCACTTTACCTGGTGAAAAGCTAACGCTTGGAAACACAACTGTGAGGGTCAAGGACTTGGGAAAGCCCAGGGAATTCCAAGCCTCATCCGTCTTGTTTCTGGCCACTTGGGGAGAAACGAGGCCTAGTGAGACTCCACGTGCCTGTCCTTTCTTTTTTCCTGGGATACGGCCACAAGGAAGGCATCCTGGCTGCGTGGACAGGCTTTGTGATGTTCACATCCTGGCTCATGACTTCTGGCTGTGTGATCTTCAGCACGTTCCTTAACCTCTCTGTGCTTCAACTTCCTAGTCTGTAAAATGGGGGAGAAGAGTTCCCACGGTCAAGAGTTCTTGGAAGGGCTTGGTGGGTCCTCCCTAAAGAGTGGCTCGTAATTCCGTGAGGAGACCCCTGGGCTTGGCAGGAGTCAGCCTCTGGTAACTGGTTCTGTTTCCTGTTCTCTCCCAGTCGGCCACGGGCAGAGCGAGGGGGAGAGGATGGTGGTGTCTGACTTCCAGGTTTTCATCAGGGACGTGTTGCAGCACGTGGACGTTGTGCAGAAGGACCACCCGGGGCTTCCCATCTTCCTCCTGGGCCACTCCATGGTGAGTAGACCACGGAAGAGCCCTCTAAGTCAAGCCGGGCCCCAGCCCCAGCCCTGCAGTGGGTGGAGGGTGAGGGTCCCGGGATGCAGGGGGCCGCCCTGCCTCTGGCCCCATCGCGCTCTGCCTGGGCAGCACGGCCCCCTCTGGGAGTTCCCAGACAATTTATGCTCAGGAAACGAGGGCCAGCATCTTGGAGGCAGCCCCAGAGAAGCTCACCTCCGCCCAAGGCGCCAGGAAGGTGCCACTTCATGGTGGGGCCCCAAGGGCACTTCTCCCTGCACGGCCGCGTCTCAGGGCAGGAGGGCCCCTCAGTCAGCCTGTGGAGAAACACAGGTCCTATGCGTCCTGCCCGTTTCAGAGTCACACAGTACACATGGGAATTAGGACGGGGTTCCAGAGGAAACAAGTCCTTAAAGGTCATTCCAAATCCCTTTCACCTTTTAAATACATTAAACCCCCTAAGGATCAGCCAACTCTAATGTATAAATCAGGGCTTCTCAAACTGGCAGCATCCAGGCCGGAGCTGCCTCTAGACCCCCTGCCCCAGTGGCTGGCAAAGAACGTTTTGAGCTGCTTGGTTTTGAAATCTGGGTGACTTTTCCCTCCCTTCCAGCCCGGTCACTGTCGGGCTCTGTTCCTGCGCGTCTGTTACCTGCCTGGCCCTCGTCAGCGTGTGTGGTGTCAGCCCTTGGTTCAGGTCACCTTCAGCTTCAAGTAGCCAAGGCCGCACGCCTTCAGCACCACCCACGCTCACTAACTATTTTTCTTGGAACCTAAATTTCTGGGACCTTTACTGAACCAGGAAAACAAGAAAAGTGTAGCAGTCTCTTATTATCAGCAGATTTTTTCAGATCTCGTGTTAAGGCTGACGGAATGGGTGAGTTGGGAGTCTGCCAGCTTTGGGCTTGAAATGAAATAGAAACATGTTATTGTTTAACTTGCAGCCCACAAGCAGGAACCTTATTTAGATCTCCCTGAAATGTTTGCTGTTGGAAAACCCGGAGAAAAAAACATGTGAAAGCAAGTAATTGCAGGTCTAGTTTATCCAACATTTGAGGGTGTCTATTCCAAGGTACCGTCCTTGGGGCTCTGGGCCGGGACTGCAGCCCAGCAGGAGACCCGCGATGGGGCGGTTAAGAGCCCATGCTGGCGACGCCCACACCCACATGCTGCCCGTTCTCATTGCAGGGAGGTGCCATCACCATCCTCACGGCCGCAGAGAGGCCCGGCCACTTCTCCGGGATGGTTCTGATCTCCCCGCTGGTTCTTGCCAATCCCGAGTCTGCCACGACTTTCAAGGTAAACGGACTTCCGGTTCCATGAGACTCCTGCAGCTTCCCTGGCCCCGGGGCGTCCGTTCACAGCTAGAGTCTGGGGGAAAGGGCTTCTCCCACGATTGTGATAAGGTTTGGACAAGTAGCAAGCATTGTTGTCCCTGGAATCCTGTAGTTTCTCAAGTCAGGTACTTTTTTTCCCAAAGGCAAAAGAAAAATGACTTCCTGCTTGTGCATGTTTCTCTGGTGAACGTTAGAAGGAGGAAAGGTTACGCGCGTTAGGAATCCAGCGAAGGGGCCTCTGTTAACAAGCCATGTGCTGGGCTGGAGCTCATTTCCGGGGACCGTTGGCCAGCATCGGCCACGGCATGCGGACAGCGGAGCTGCAGGCAGTTACTAACGGGACAGCGCCGGCGCCTTGGCTGTAGTGCTCTCCATCCCTGAGCACTTTCACCTCTGACCTGTCGGATCCTCCATTCTGTTTTTCTGGCTGTAATGTTCCACGCGGCGCAACCCAGCGGTTCCCGCGTTGAGCTGGGCCTCCTCCCCCTGAGGAAGGAGATGGGACTCGTGGCCTCAGCAGGGCTGCCGGGTTGTTGACACATTATGGACCTGAGGTTTCAGAGACGGGTAACCCGGTGAGGGTGGGGAATCCCAGCCCCGAGTCTCCCCGAGCAACGGTCAGTCTATCCTGGTCGCTGGGGGACACTGCTGCCCCCGAGCCAGTTCTCAGGACTCTCAAAGGAGCACGAGGGGTGAGTGAGGCAGTGAGTGGGTCAGGATCATTCAGTGGTCCTGGTCTGAGTAGAGTAAGCAAGACCAGAATCGCAAAAAGAGGGGGTCCCCACGGCGCGCTGCATGCTTTGATTCGTGATTCGTTCTGCCCAGTGAGTGCCGGGCACGTGCTGGGCTCACACGTGAATCATCTCCCTCGGCTCCCACCCTCACCCCAGGAGAGGTCGAGGCCTGCGTTTTACGGTCGGGACGACTGAGGCTTGGAAGGGACGAGCGACTCTCCAGGTCCACACCCCAGTGTGGTGGATTGGGATCTGGGGCTGTCCTCTCCTCTCCCCATCAAGGGTGTTTCCCCAGAGAAGAAAGTGGATGTTTTCCCTTTGGGAAGAGTCCAGGACCGTGGGGATTTTTGGATGAAGTGCACCAGGGGATCAGGGCAGCTGGGCCCCAAAGTAGAGCCCACAAGCTTTCCCCCGAGTCACTGGCAAAGGGGGAACTTCTGGGCAAGGCCACCAGCGTGACCTTCCGAGCCTGCCGCTAATAGATCACCTTGTCAAATCAGGAGCCAGCTGTCCCCGGGGGGGGGGTGCAAGTCTCCTCTCATTAACCGAGACAAATGAGATTGCCCGTTGCCCCCAGACCAGAGGACACATCCTCCCCGTGAAATCTGTTTCTGCTCCAGGCTTTGGCAGTTCTGACTGACATTCTGTGATTCGTCTGCCACCCCCGGACCACGGGGTTACCCTCCACGTCTCGCCTGACAGCCTTCTGAAGGAGCCTCACGGAATCTTTGTTTAAAATTTAATTGACGCATTCTTAAAATAATGTATCTATACGGTTCAAAATGTGAGAGAGGGAAAGGGCACGAGCGGAGTCCCCTCACGGTTGCAGGCAGGCAGCCATTTAGCAGAGTTTGTGCATCTCTGCGGGTGCGCACACCACTGTGGGTCCCTGTGTTTCACACACGTGGGAACACGCTCTCTGTGCTTCCTGTTTTGTTTTGGTGGCCTGTTTGTTTTTGTGGGTGGGGTTTAGTTTGGTCATTTTTCTTTGTGATACCTCTTGGCGCACAGGACTAGGAAAGACCTCGCTGCAGGCCTTGGGTCAGGTGAGGCCCAAGGGGGATGGCCCTGGGTCAGGTGAGGCACCCTATAGGGATGGCCCTGGGTCAGGTGAGGCGCCCTGCAGGGATGGCCCTGGGTCAGGTGAGGCGCCCTGCAGGGATGGCCCTGGGTCAGGTGAGGCCCCCTGCAGGGATGGCCCTGGGTCAGGTGAGGCCCCCTGCAGGGATGGCCCTGGGTCAGGTGAGGCGCCCTATGGGGATGGCCCTGGGTCAGGTGAGGTGCCCTGCAGGGATGGCCCTGGGTCAGGTGAGGCGCCCTATGGGGATGGCCCTGGGTCAGGTGAGG